CGAGAAAACAGCACTAGAAAGTAGTGAAGATACTTCAGGGGAAAGGACACACTGACAGTAAGGAAGGGAAGGGGTAGCAGCTGCCTGGAACAGAGGAAGGGGTTTACAGCGGTTTACTGTAGGCGTTCTGTGCAAGTGAGCTCAGCACCGGGACATGGTCATACCCATGTGTAGAGTCTACATCCTGGCCAGTGCCCTTGGCAGTTTATGGAGCACCGGCTGCAACTGTGCGCAAGAAATGCACAGAATTCAACAGCAGAGAGATGAAGTCAAAATGCCAGAGGACTCACCCCTGAAGAAAGAACGAAGTGCCCAGTGCTAAGAGGAAGAGAGAAGGGGCACTGATACGAAAGCTTTTTGGCACAGTGTGATCCCGGCACGCCGGTCCCACTGCTCGGGCACTGATCTGTCAAGACTGCTAAGGAATCCCTGGAAGCAACCAGAAACACAGGGCCAACTGATCCAGGCTCCCACATGCAACCCCCCAAATGCCAGGCAGGTCAACAGACCTACCTCTGCTGCAGGAAACAGAGCATGCCACAGAAAGGAAGCCAGCAAAGCAACCCATCAGCCATCCCAGGCTCCCTCAGCCGAGTGGCCAGATGTTCCCACATGAGCTCAGGAGTTTCAGTTCAAGCTTTCTGCTGCAGCGGAATTGTATTTTTTAAAGGTATACAGTGGGCCCAGCGCGGTGGCACAAGTGGTTAAAGGTCCTCGCCTTGCACGCCTGGGATCCCATATGGGCGCCAGTTCTAATCCTGGCAGCCCAGCTTCCCTTCCAGCTCCCTGCCTGTGGCCTGGGAAAGCAGTCGAGGATGGCCCAAAGCTTTGGGACCCTGCACCCGCGTGGGAGACCCGGAAGAGGCTCCTGGCTTCGGATCGGCATAGTATCGGCCCGTTGCGCTCACTTGGGGAGTGAATCATCAGACGGAAATCTTCCTCTCTGTCTCTCCTCTCTGTATATCCGCCTTTCCAATAAAAAAATAATAAAAATAAATCTTTAAAAAAAAAGGTATACAGTTATTTGAGACAGCAAATTGGGCAGGAGGAGGGGGACAGCAAGCAGGGCAGGGCAGAGGAAGGTGAGTGAGGGAGATTGGTAGAGAGACAGAGAACAGAGGAGTAGGGCTCCCATCTGTTGGCTTCTTCCCCAAATGGCCGCAAGAGTCAGGGGTGGGCCTGGCCCGAGCCAGAGGCCAAGGCCTCCATCCTAGTCCCCAGCACGGGTGGCGGGAACATGCAGCCAGGAACTCGAAGTGGTCGTAAGCCCAGGTCCTCTGATGAAGGACACGGGCACCCTAACCACTAGGCTAACCATAACCACTTGTCCTCCTTTCTCCTCAAAGTGACCTGCTTCCGATGCCAGATTACAGTCACCATGTTATTTAGTTCATGAAGAAACTGCTGAGCTTGAACATAAAATTGGAACATATACCTTCTCATTAATGACTCTATTTCAGGGTAACCAAGCAGCACCAGCTGAGAAGAAAACACACCGCATGGGACGGTGTCAAGGCAGACAAACTGGCATAAGCAGATCAAGTCCGGGTGGAATTACTGACTCTAGCAAGAATTACCAATTGAAGCCTAAAGTTTCCAATGTCGGGGCACATTTAAAATAACAGACTGGTGGGATTATAACTTGTTATGAAGGATTACACTATTGTAACAATATGGGGAAAATCAGTTGAGGGGAGGGATCTGGTGGGGGGAATCACAGACCCTGCAGAATTGTACCATAAAATTAAAAAGAAAAGAAAAGTTTTAGGTAAGGAGTTGATGGTGGTCTGGGGACTGTCAATTGATATGCACAACAAAAGCAAAAAACATAACGTTGACCTTCACGGATGCCGCTCTCCTAACACTGCTGTAAGTTTTAACTTTACCAACCCTGGGTAGACCAGTGTACAACCACACCTTTTAACGCATTCTAGTTACAACACTCCAGCTGAATCTGAACAAGTCTATAGGAAGCATCTTAGGGTTTCTAGCGAATCCCTGAAACAGAGAAGCTTAACTGTACTATGACAAACAATCACGCAGATCCAGGTCGAATTTTTTCAACCAGCCAAGAGAATGCAAAATTGGTTTCCACTGTTTCACATATTCTTCAGAGACAAAACTAAATGCGGTTTTTAGTCGTATGTTCAACCATTTCAAAAGGACATTTTGGAAAAAGCTTGGAAATTGAGGTATAAACTGAGAATGGAATAAACAAGGTTGATGATTAATTTCAGAATAATATCACATTATTCACTGTACATGAAAATGTTCCACTTTTCCAAAGAGATGCATTAAAAATGTCTAAGGACATATAGTTGTAAGTTATTACTTAGACATAGAAACGCAGTTAAAAAAGAATTGGGTATGGGGCTGGCGTTATGGCACAGTGGGTTAAGCTGTGGCGTGCCACACAGGCATGCCCTATCAGAATGCCAGTTCAAGTCCTGGTTGCCAGGCTTCCAGTCTGCCTTCTTGTTAATGTGCCTGGGAAGGCAGCAGGAAACGGTGCAGCAGCTCCCCCTGCCGCTCACACGGGAGAGCAGTGCGGAGTTCGGCCCAGCCCTGCTCTCTGTGTTACAGCCATGTGGAGAGCGAACAAGTGGATGGAAGATATTTGTCCTTCTCTCTGCTTTTTATATAAATAAAAGCATCTTTAACAAAATCAGGTATATGTATACACACACATACTCGTATATACATGATTTAGAAATCGACCTCTCCCTGTATATTCGTCAGGAGGAAGCAGACCTACATAACCAACAGTCCCTTGAAGAAGTTTAGATGAGCCGCCAGCAGTTCACTCCCCTCACATCTTGGTCTGTCTCTGCCATAAGGGATGTGGCCGAAGAGGGATTCTGTTTCTGTGGTGGGCTTGGCTGGCGAGGACATTCTGCCAGCTTTGCCAGGGTCACTGAGCTAACACGGGTATGCAGAAAACTATCTTTGCTCCAAGGCAAAGAGGGACATCACACTCACTGGTGACGGAGAAGGTCTAGAAATCCATCAGTCTGCTCAGGGGAACGTCCTTGGAGATGTAACGGAGCCCGGTCCCAAGAACGCAGCCACAGAAGCGGCCGCAGACAGCATGGGCACGAAGAGGACTCTCGGCAGGGGAGTGTCTATCCCAGGAGCAGGAGGCAGAATGGCCTTCTGGTGGGCAGCCACTCCACCTGCGAAGCACAGCAGCGGTGAGCCACTGGAGCGCTGATTCTGGGAGCAAGATGCTCTCGAGGGAGAACAGGTTGCTGTCAAACTATATTAGGACCTGGGGATGAGGTTGTACAGGTGCCAGGAAAAATAAAAGGAGGACTCGTGGCCAGCAACTGGGGTGAGGGAGGCTGGGCATGCTGTGAATGGGGGGTGCAGGGTTTAGAGTAAAAATGCAGGTGCAGTTGGAAAGAACATGCTGAAAATGGAGGAGTTGTTAGTATAACTTTACGTTGAAGCTTCTGTTCGTTGGTAGAGGCTAAGAGGGCGGGAAGTGGAGCGGAATCCAGGAGGCAGGTGGAAGGTGTGAACAGGCAGTTAGGGGGAGAGACATCATGAGCATGGACCCTGAAGGATGGAAGCAAAACAGCGATTTGGGGAGATGGATGAGAAGCCAGAATGGCAAAGGGAACAGAAGGACAGAGGGGGTAGGACGGAGAAGACAGCTGGCCAAAGGTGGAGGGGGCAGAATTGGGATCAGACCAAAAGAGAATGTAATTTTTCCATCTCTGCACTTTCAGAAACTGATACAGTGGGAGCTCAGTGAAGAGGAAAGGGAGGATGGAGAGAGAGAGAGAGAGAGAGAGAGAGAGAGAGAGAGAGAGAGAGAGAGAGAGAGAGAGAGAGAGAGAGAGGAAGGAGCAGGTAGAGTGGACAAACGCAGGCTGCACTGGAGCAGGACACAAGGAATGACCGTAAGCACATATTACAGAGCCTCACAAGGGGTTGAGGTTAGCTGGAGAGACATTCTGTATCATGTTCCAAAATTACATCATTCAGAATCAATCCAAGAACGTGAGAACTAATTTGACCAAGCAACAGTTCTGTGGCTGATTTGAACTTAGATTTCCTACAAATGCCTCCAACTGGGCTGAAGGCAGAGCGCTCAGATCTTGTGATGCCCATCAGTCTGATGGGACTTTTTAATTTCCCCGAGGTCCAGCGCGCGTCCACTGAGTCATATCAGCCGCCTAAGGCCGCTGCATATTTTGCATCCATTCCAAAACAAGAGAGGTGAATGCTGAAATAACATAATGAATGTAGACAGAAATCTGGCCAACGACCACCCCAAAAAACACTCCCATTTATCAGGCGCCTGATGATCCAGATACCGCCCACACTGATGACATGAAGCCATGCTGGCCAAATCTGAACTTTCCGCTAGGCGAGATCTAATCTAGAGAACTAACAGAGCTCTCTAGGATGTAAATCTTTCCCAGGACACATGAGTTTGAGTGACAGCTCATAAAACGATTTTGGAATGCATGCAAAATTAGACACACACACAACTTTCATGCAGAGGACAATTTATTCATAACTGTAACAGTGGCTCTGAGCAAGCGGTCATGGCTCTGGTCTACAAAATAGATACTAGAAAGTACGTTTTATGAAGTTAGGACCAAATATATCTTTGTTTGCCATTTTTAATTGTGTAGGTGTCTTCCAAAACACGAGTAAGATCGGAATTTGCATGAGAGCTTACTGTGATAAGATCAGGTCACAGTGACACGTATTGTTGAAAATGCCTGGTTTACAATATGAAGGAAGAAACAGGATGGGGACATCAGATTCTACAAGTCTTCCATTTGTGTTTCCAACAGCAAACCATTGGAGAACCACTCTCCCCAACTCGTGTCACCAGGAAGACTGATGAGCTTGGCACACATTTCATATCCATACTTCCAAGGCTGGAATATTATTTACACAGTGCAGGACTCACCAGTTAGGGTCATTGAGCACCCCCCTCAGAAAGCTAAGAGAAAGAGCCCTGGGGCCTGCTGGATACTCACTATTTGGTGGAGTCCGACAACTGATACTCTCGCCGTCTGTCATAGCACTCCTGGATTCCAGGATCATTCCATAAACTCTTTATTGCGTCTACGTATGGGCTCTCAAAGGCAGACACCTTCTCCACGTCAACTTCCCAAACTAACTGTGCATGAGCCTGTTTGGAAAAAGCACAACAAATACAGCAGCACTTTTAATACTGTCATCATTACTTCCCAAATGGTGGGGAACACATTTTAGATCTATTCACTCAGGGAGCACCTTCCGTCACAGCCTTCCGAGTACACTGGCTCCTAGTGGAGCACTGCTCAGTATCTCCTCTTTTCCTGACAGACTGCTCCAAGTCCTTCCCACCGGAAGACAGCTTCAGGCTCCTTGTTGACTGGGAGAAACTGGAAGATGGTCCCCAGGACAGCAGGATCGGAACACTGCATACATATATCACTGTTTTTAAGCAAAGACCACGATTCTAAGACAATTCATATTATTAAATGGAAAAAGAGTATTCTTACAGTTTATTACTTTCAAACATATAAACGCCACAGACTATCAATGTTATATGTCTTTGCAGAAACTCAACAACATTCCTCAACTAACCAGGAATGGTTTTCATAACCCATCTTTAGGAGAGAGCATAAGGTTACTGCAAAAGTTAATAATACCAATTTAAACTGAATAATAATTCCCTACGCACTTCCACAAATCCCAACTTCCTAATCTATGTGCTGTATTTATGTGATCAGACTGAATCCTCAGACTCTTTACAATGAAAAAACAAATCTATTTTTCCTTATTATACTACATTTAGCAGAAGATAGACTTTAAAATTTTTTTCAACAAAATTGAAGCAAAAAATGTTTTATGGTCAGCCTTGAAATTAATCTCTAACAATTCCAGAAAAATTAAGTTTCAGGGAATGTAATATGCAAATTACAAACATATAAAATATGCAAATAAACATTAACAACTCATCGCCTTGGAAACTGGAGGCAGATGGATAACAATTATTACAATAGTCCTGAATTTGTACAGTAACATAAACATCTAAACTAGGTTAGTGAATGGCTAGTATGATCACATCAGCCAATTTGTTCATTTCATAGAACATTAAGCAGATAGAATTTTAATAAATTTAATTCACAATGGGGCCTATCCGGTTTCAGTTTTACGTTGTCTTCCCACAAGTAGGAAGGGTTCCAAATCAATCAGCTATTTTCAACTTATGGTTTGAAGCAGCTTGACACACTGGGACTGAAGAGAGATGCTCCCTCATGGAATCTGCTGTCACCCATTTTGCAACTGAGGCTCGAGCTGCGTTCTCTTCCTGGTCTTGGAAAACAGATCCCCACAGCTGCTTTCTTATTTGGCCCCTTCTTGTCGCACCAGATCTAACACAGGGCCGGAATCTTGCTCGGGACTCCACTTCCAGCGTGCCTACATGACCTTCCCTTTCAGAGCCACCCTTCCAACACCAGGAAGGACTCCCCAAGGAATCCTCCATGGATCTCCTGTTGCTATCCCATGGTGCTCTGTTGGGGCTGGCAGGGCTTGTTGTCACCTCCTGGATCACAAGGCTACGCTGGACCTCTCTGTTCGGCTTGCTGAATCAGACCTCTCCCAGCAAAGGAAGCTCATTCATTCTATCTACTCTCCACAGCTATGTTCAAGATCAAGTTTCACTCCTTTCCTTTCTGCCCTTGCTCACTGAATATGAACAAATTCTCTTTGTGTCCTCAGGCACGACAGCAATTGTCCTTGACGTAGTCCTAAACTAGATTTCTCACAGCTGTCACATTACTGCAGAAATCTCCCGAAGATTTTGTGAGACTTGGGGAGTTCGCAGGCAGACACAGAAGCCGGGACACAGCCAAGGTGCTTCCCTGTTGGACTCGGTCTCAGGTTATGGTTTTGAGCATGATTCTACTACTCCCTGTGCCCCGGGAAGCTGCGTAGCCCTTCCAAGCCTTCCTTCTGCTGGGGACAGACAGTTGTCCTCCCTGGCACTTTTACGTGGTGCTCAGCATCTCGGTTACAGCACTTCTTGTCAGTCATTCTTGCGAGGTAGTCTGCCGACCACATCATGGGTGGTCGCTGAGAATCCATAAATGACACAGATGCACAGGTCACACCTCTGATTTGCTGAGGCACAGAGCCGGGCAGGAAGGTGCACCGACCACATGACTCTGATGCTTGTAAAAGCTTGACAGCCATTGCATACTGCAAAGACTTGCTACTGGAGACTGAACAGGAGAGAGACTCGCTGAGGTAACAGCCACTCCTTAGTAAGTGCCATTAGTGATGCTCATTGTGCCTGACCCAAAATGCAGAGAAGAGCCGGATCTAGGCAGGAGAAGCGCTGAACACTGTGGCACACGGAGGGCCAAGTCATAATCAAAGAAGGCAGGTGCTAGAGGCCTCCAACTAACTCCCCATTGGGAATGTAGATTCACTACGGCTAGACCTCCCAGTATTTTCTAAGAAGACAAGAAGTCTAGCATCTCCTTTGAAATCCCGCTAATTTTACATCTTGAAACATTAGTTAAAAGAAATGTGGCTACGTTGGATTAGGGAATACTTCCTTGCAGAATTTGTTCTGGAAGATTCTTCCCTAGTTTCTCCCCTAAGCTTGACTGTATCACTGAGCTCCTCACAGAACCTAGAACATGGGGAGCAAGTAACATGCTGACAAGTGAATACTCTCCCAACACTTTACCACAGTTGCATTTAAAGCTATTCTATTACGCACAGTAAGAAAAGGTTGAGAGCCCTCTCTGAGTGGTATAGAGCGACATGACAGGAGCTAGTACAGGCAGGATTTCTACAATGAACTTGACTCTCTATACCATGCCAGCCATGCCATCTGGTGGGAGTTCGGGTTCTGTTTGTAAAGCGGTTGTTTTCTACCAGAGAAAACAGTGTCTCCATATCACATTTTCTTCCCTATGGCAACGATGAAAGGTTTATTGGAGGTCAATGAGATGCCAGGCAACACAGCAACTAGGAGAATTGGCTCCTATCCACTACGTAAGGTGTGTGTGTGTGAGTGTGTGAGTGCGTGTGTAACAGTTTCTACAGATAGCAAGGCCAAGGATTATGGGCTCCAAGACCCGGAACCAGAGAAAGTATTTGTGTTTCCATTCCTAATTCCATTGGACTCTAAGAGCATTTAAACAAAGACAGTTCTCAATGGTGTATAAAGATGAACGTTTCCCCAAAAGGCTTCTCAGGAATGAAACTGCATTCTAGTGCCGGAAATTCCTACAAGTTCCTATTTTAGTCTGTCCCTGCTCACCTGGGTTTAAACTGAAGTTGCAGTGCCCTCCCTTCCCTGTTGGGTCTTCTTTAAGAAGTTTCTGTTCAGATGCTGCACCATACGTGATCTCATACAGGACATCATTCATGATTGTCTTTCCAAACTGAAGTACTCCCACATGTTCTCTGTATTAACAGCTACATTCTTACATTGCCTTCTTTTAAGCCATACATGGATGGAAGAGGTTGTGGCTAATGAGTTCTCATTTATTTTAGGGCCCATGATAGAGTGAGTATATAAGGATACATTAGAAAAAAAAAAAAACTCATGGAAAAACTAAATGAAAAGGTAAGTTTAGGGGCAGATGCTTGACAAACCCAGATTCTAAATGAAGAGTCTGGGGACATGGGAGCATGAATGCTAGCTTTCAGAGCCCCTAAGAAGCTGGCAGGAGTTTTAGCCAGAGCACCGTGAGAATGAACTAGCAGCACTCACCCACAATGGCAGAATTCTAGGGAAAGACCACACGGACACCCGCAAGATGTACCAATGTGGCCATGCCTTGTTTTTAGGACCCAGTAGTCACAAAACTCAGGTAAGTCCGGGCTGTGTTGGTGTCTCTGTGACCGCTCCTGCCAGGGGAAGCAACTCATCGGTCCTACTCTCTGAAGGGATGGCCAGTGCAAACAGAGGGCCCCTGGAGTGGGAACCACCTCAGAGTGGCTTTTAGTTCCGATTAAAAGAACATGGCACACCGCTTTTATCCTGAGGCTTCTTTCCATTTTTGTATTTGACTCCACAGAAAGAAATTAGAAACTGCTAAATAATGTGTGAAAAAAAAAAAAAACTCTCTCTTTTTTTCCTCCTCTGCTGCTCAAAGGAAGCACAGAATACGATGATGGGCTTTGAGAAAACAGCCACTCATTATTTATAAAACAAAAGGAAAAACAGCCCTGAAGATCCACAGTACGGCTTCTATACCCACAACCTTTTGCAACCTTAAGCAGGTCAGCCAAGCTTTGCTCCAGTGGGAAAGGGCGTTCCGGAGGCACTTCTGCCTCCAGCCTCAGAGCTCCTATCACCTCTCAGCATAAAATGGCTGCTGACCAAACGGCTTCACCTCCAATGATTGCATCATGGCCCGCACAGCTGCCCTTCTTCCAGGGACATTCTAGAAAGAGCGACAGTTGTTGTTGTTGCATCTTTTCATGAGTGTTACTGCATAAATGGCAAAGCGTAGCACAGTCACGCTGAGCGGCTGCTGCGACGGGCAGGGCTGACGTCAGCAGTGACTCATTGCCACACGGCAGCCACTGCACATTCATGATACAACTCATGTTTCAGCAGTCACAGCCTCCTGTACGACACGGCCTTCCAAAGCCCTTCCCGAATGTGACAGAGCCGGTGAGTGGAGCCCTCCAGCCACAGCGAGCCACTGGATGCTGGCTACGTTCCCACGCTCCCTCCATGAGCAGCATGCAGTTTCTCACCAAGGACTTGAACGATAACCTGACACCAAACCAGGCTTCAATCACAAAGCTGTTGAGGACAGGCCCAGTTGCCTCTGGGAAAGTTCAGCTGTCCTGTGCCTCAATTTTCATTTGAGGATAAAGGTTCATTGTGGAGCCATTGGGAAAATCAAGAGAGATGGAAGCAAAAGGCCTGGTCTAAGTTCTATGATTACTGTACAACTTCATGGCACCTCAAAACTGGCACCAATCATTCCAGTAAATTACTATCCCCTATGTTTTACGCTATGCACTGACAAAGTGAAAACTTCTTGTTAAATCAAATGCTCCAGGTAGGGAACTAGAAGCTAATTAAACTGTCACAAATTATTCTAGTTTTTAAGATTATACAAGCTAAATTAGCAGCCCTTTGTTAAATATGCCCTTTTATCGTGA